TTCTTAAACTTACTGAATATAATCTAACTCTGTTAATTTCCTCAACTGTAACCACAGTCTAGCGCTGTTAAGCTAACTAAACTGTAACTATAGTGCTGTTAAACTTATTAAAAGATAGCCATAGTCTATCTCTGTTAAACTTACCGAACTTTTAGTCTAATTTTCTTAAACTTACTGAATATAATCTAACTCTGTTAATTTACTCAACTGTAACCACAGTCTAGCACTGTTAAGCTAACTAAACTGTAACTATAGTGCTGTTAAACTGATTAAAAGATAACCATAGTCTATCTCTGTTAAACTTACCGAACTTTTAAATTTAGTCTAACTTTCTTAAACTTATTGAATATAATCTAACTCTGTTAATTTACTCAACTGTAACTACAGTCTGGCGCTGTTAAGCTAACTAAACTGTAACTATAGTGCTGTTAAACTTATTAAAAGATAACCATAGGCTATCTCTGTTAAACTTACTGAATATAATCTAACTCTGTTAATTTACTCAACTGTAACCACAGTCTAGCGCTGTTAAGCTAACTAAACTGTAACTATAGTGCTGTTAAACTGATTAAAAGATAACCATAGTCTACCTCTGTTAAACTTACCGAACTTTTAAATTAAGTCTAACTTTCTTAAACTTACTGAATATAATCTAACTCTGTTAATTTACTCAACTGTAACCACAGTCTAGTGCTGTTAAGCTAACTAAACTGTAACTATAGTGCTGTTAAACTGATTAAAAGATAACCATAGTCTATCTCTGTTAAACTTACTAAGCTGTAAATATAAACATAGTCTGGCAATGTTAAAACTTATTTTTACATTTTTTTTTAAATATTTTTGAAAGTATAGCTTATCAACATTAAACTTGCCACATTAATTCTAGGGGTATCTAATAACCTCAAATTACCAGCGTATGTCATATAAAGTTGAACTTAAACAACCTAACAATCTGTGTCCAATACTTAACAGTGTCTTTCAACTGGTTGTGTTTCAATACACACCTGTCTGTGTTCCATCTTCTCCTGTAAGAATAATCTGTCCATCAGAATTTAGTGTTGCTTCAGCTAATGTTGCCACAGCTTGTGCAGCTACTTCTCCATGCAGATCAACAGTTAGTGGTGTAACTTGGTGACTCCTTGCTCCACCAACATCTTGCTGTGATGCTACAGCTACTTCAGCTAAAGTATGAACGTTGTGACTAATATCTGCTTGAGTTCCTTGAATCTACAGATACAGTAACAATGCACATTATTCAGAATGTGTGATTTATAAAATGAATCAATTCTGTAAAAGGTTAATTTTTTTTTCTTCTAACTGAGAACCAAAAAAATTACTTGCACGTCACAGAGTTCGGTCTATTTACAGAGCTAGAGAAATTAAAACAGAGTTCTTCTCTCAATCATAAAAAATCCTAATTCCATTATTGTTACAATGCCATCACACTGTTTAATCCATGCAATCAAAGGAACTGGGATTATTTATTTTGATATGTGTAACTAAGAGTACACCATTTGAACATAGTTTATTCTTCTTCAGAATTGTCTTTATTAATATACAACAAACAGTTGTGATTGGTTGACCGACGATACCTAACAAAGAGTTGCGTTTCCAAGACTTATACTGTAAATAACTTGCACAAATAAACAAAACAATTATTGTTTAGTTCACTAATCACATTTTAACAGTATTGATTTCTATGTTGCCACAACAGATAACACTTACTGCACTCACAGCTCGAACTTGGGCTTGGGTTCCATCTGGAAGAGTTACAACAGCACTACCTGGCTCTACTTGTATAATTGAAACTGTTCCGTCTGGATTGTTGATTGTTTGTACCATTGTTGGAGCATAGTGTGTTATTGGTTGAGTGTACAGTGTCTAGAGATAAAAAACAAACAAAAAACTTGTATTCTCTTATGGTATTGTTTTTCTTTAGCCACTAACTTTCTATTTTTTCAACGACTCTTTATAGCCATAAAACATATTTTCATGATTGAATAAGTCAAAACTGTAAGAATGAACAAGCTCTGGGGAAACAAAAATTTTGTGCATTACATAACTCATTAAATTTATCATGAATTATTTAGTTGCATTAAAATTATGAAGATAATGTATTAAAGGTTTTAATGTTTTGTTTTTCTGGCTACGCTACTCACGCACAACAGATATGCTTTATCTAGTTCTTGGTTTCCAGACGATCCCCTTCAGCTAACAAGAGTAAATCAAAGTAATCAACATTCTTATAAAAAATTGTAAAAATTAAAGTATAAGAAAAAATAATGTGTGTGATCACTTGAATGAAAATTAACTTAAATTTAAAATAAAACAAAGAAAAAGTTCTACTTTTTTATAAATAAATTAAAAAGGGAAAAAATAATCAATAGGTTTGAACTTGCAAGTTCTATAGACTTGCCAAGTATCAAAATAAAATACAAATTTTAAGATATAAAATCAAAAATCATCAACATAAATGTAATTTTTAAACAACGGAGTCATGCAAGTACATGATGGTTGAAGGATAGCATAAAGAATAACATCTGATAGTGCTTGGGGTGTCTGCCAAGACCCAGGTTTACAAAAAACCCAAGGCAAACTCACCCCCTGTGCCCCAGCCAAAGCAGGATCAGCTGAGACCACAGTTCCTGCACTAGCCACAGATATTGACGTAGAGGGCACTACACTTGAACTATGACCAATCACCTTTCCCTTGTCTATTTCCTCTTCGTCATTAAAAGCAGGTAACAGATCTTCTCGTCCATGATATTTATAACAGTTTACTACAATCTGTCTGAGAGCATGAGTCCAAGAAACCTGTACAGAAAATTAAATCAAACAAGTATAGTTATACTTATAGCACATAAAAAATAACATTTTTCTATTTGTGAATTAACAACAGTTGTTATAGAGTACAATAAAATTCCTGCTTGTATTAAAAGAATATATCAAGCATTATGCTGAGAATTAGTATGGCATAACTTACATGTTTGCATCTTAATTAGTTTTACTTTGGGTTATAGAGAAAAAAAATATCAATAGAATTAACATTTCTTTCTTGCTAAATACTTTTTCTAATAAACAGTAGCTTGGCTAGAAGCTAGTTAACAGTATTAGGAGTCAATTATCTAGCTCTACATTAAATCTACACATTTATCACTTGTCATTAAATCAAAAACCCTATAATCAGATCCTACTAGACCAACAGATATATGTCTACTGGGGTCCAGTTACAAAATGGCTAATAACTCAGAAAAAGTACATTTTTTTTATTTAAATGTATTTTTCTGATAATGGCATTAGTTCAATTTTACACTTGGAAGAAACACATTCACTGACACACCCAGACTGTCTGTACTATGTTAATACCAAAAAGTATATCACTCACACACCTGAAATTGAATTCAGTATCTAACTTAAAATACATGAACTTCTCAAGAACACTACTGAAAGTAATGTTAAAAAGAAACCTACACAATCACTCAACAAAAAAAAATTAAGATAATTTTAATTTATTTCCAAAACAGGATCGCACCTTTTGTTTCTCTTCGTCCTTTCGAGCATCACTGCGAACATTAGCCCATGGAACATCCTTAGGCCACCATGGAGGTCGAGTTGATTCCTTCCCCCAGCCTGGCTTCCCCCGCCCTGTTGAATACTTTAACATGAGTGGAATGAAGGCACGAAGCTGAGCCTAGGAAGAAAGATGTTCCACTGAAAGATTTTGTTTTTTAAATCACACTGCTCTGAGTTAAGTGTAAAAGTTTGAAATAGAAAATGTAACTAAGATAGTAGAGATTACAGAAATGGTCAACTTAATAAAATCAGAAACACTTAGAGTAACATGTAAATGAAATACATGAGAAACACTGGGAAGCCACTCATACTGACGGTAATTTGAAAATAAATCGCGAACACTGGGAAGCCACTCATACTGACAGTAATTTGAAAATAAATCGCACAATATGAAATCAGCAAATACATATCGATTACAAATGTATTTTCAAACAACAAACATAATATCTTCTCAGCATACATGTTTATCAGTTGGGAATCATTCCCGATAAATATGACAAATTCTACAAACAAATGTAGAAGTTATTCTCATTACGTGTAAGTATACAGATAAGGTTCAAAAAGTCATGCATATTTATCACTTAAGAAGACATTTAAAATAATACAAAACAAATCACATGTTCCAAAATAATTTTGTTTTAAATTGGAAAAGTGTGATATCGCTGTAACATACATGTGTTTATAACTTGAGGTACTTTACAAAAAACTTCATGAAAATTCACACAGAATGTAACGGAACTTGATTCAATATTCTCAAGTTTGATATATGATGGAGGAGTGGCAATTGTTCAGAAGCAGCTTAAAACATATATTATAGATAAGATAACCAATTATCAATATAATGTTTACCTTTGAGCAGTGATTACATTGATAAGTGTCATATAATTAAAATTAATGCTTAAAATTATTCAAAAAAATTGATTAATCGGAATTATGATTAAATTTAATGTCATGATAATAAGCAACTAATCGAAATTAAGCTTTCTGATTAATACTATTTTTGATTATTCAAACTATCCAAGTAATCAAAATATTGCTATTATATTTGTTTGCTGTATGGGCTATGTTTTTCCCACTGTAAGTATCTTTCATTTTACCCAACATTTCATCTTTGCGGCTTCATCAGGGTTAATATACACAACTGTTTGATAGTAGAATATTAATTAAATTATAAAACTGCTTGTAATTTTCTATTTTTCTAGTCATTTCTATATTTTTTACTATTAACTCACTTCCTGTGGATGGATCTTCACCAAATTTGATGTGGAGGTTCACTGGATCCATGGGGAGATACATACAAATTTTCAGTTTTGCATTTTGCAGTTTTTATGGGCATTTCTGCATTTTTTACCATTACTTCACCTCCTGGTGATTGATCTTCACCAAATTTGGTGTGGAGGTTCATTGGATCCATGGGGAGATACATACAAATTTTCAGTTTTGCATTTTGCGCTTTGTGGTTTTTTATGGGCATTTTTCCATTTCTTACTACTACCTCACCTTCTGTGGTTGGATCTTCACCAAATTTGGTATGGAGGTTCATTGGGTCCATGGGGAGATACATACAGACTTTCAGTTTTTCATTTAGTGTTTTGTGGTTTTTATGGGCATTTTTACCACTATTTCGGTCCTTGTTGATAGATCTTCACCAAATTTGGCTTGAAGGTTTTTTTGGGTCCTTGCGAAGATACAGGAAAATTTGTGGTTTCACATTTTGTGTTTTGCAGTTTTTATGGGCATTTTCACGTTTTTTACAATTACACATAAGCAAAGCAACTTTTCATGTCCTAAGATAACCTTTCATTAATGATGAATTTACATAACTATTCCAGCTAGTTAAACAATATAATAAAGCTGGTTATTAAAAACAGTATTAAAAATTATTATAACAACTTTACATAGCCAAGAAAGAAATAAGTCAAACATTTTAAGATAATAAAAGAGGGGTATTTAAAAAAAATTTGAAAAAGCTGAACCGTTTGTTAATACCCAAAGGACTTAAACAATCCAATTTAAAGATTATTTCTTTTTCCATTGTAGTTCTTTTATTGGTGTTGGAGGGGACATCAGCTTTGTTGAAGTGCTGAGCTACAAGTTTATCTTGATTTTTAATCAAGTTGCTACGTAAGTGTTCAGCAAGCATTCGGTTGGTTACTCCTACATAGATTTGGTCACAGTTGTTACAAATAATACAATAAACTTATCATTTAGATGTACGGACGAAATGGCTATTCACAGAACACGTTGATTTAGGGCCTCTAACAGATGTTCTATGATCAATGTAAGGGCAAGTGTTGCATCTGCTCCTATGACAACTGTAGGTACCAACTTGAGTAGGAGATAATAGTTGAATGTTGTTTGGAAGTTGACTATGGATAAGTAAATCTTTAATGTTAGTGTCTCGTTTACAAGAAGTTATAGGTTTGTTAGGGAATATTTGACAGATGGTTACTTGTGTATTGAATGGGTGAAATGTAAGCATAAGAGGATTGTGTTGATGATCAGTAGAAGTAGGAGTGCATTGGTTAAAGCGAGGTTGGGCAGTTGGAAGTTTTGAATTGTCTACGGTGTTGGTGTTAAAGATACTAATGTGATTTAAGCTAAGCACATTCTGGAAAGCTAAATTCGAATGTTTATTGTTAGTATGTATATTGTCTTTAGAGTGACGAAGAAGAGAAATAGGTTAGTACGGTTTTTAAGAAAATGGAGCATGTTGATAAGTTTGCTATTATAATCTTAGTCGTTACTGCACAGCTTACACAATCTGGCGAGTTGTGATCTGGAAATGTTTCTCTTGACGTATTGCAAATGACTGGAGTGAAAATGTAAGTAGCTATGTATGTCTGTCTGTTTGTAATGTACAGATATTGTGAGATTACCATCATCAGTCATGGAAATATTTATGTCAAGAAATGAAATGATTTAGTGAGAAACAAGAGACGTGTATTGCAGTGATGGGTGAAACGATTGAATGTACTGAACAAAAAACTGAGTTAATCATTACTGCACGTAACTATACCAAAAACATCATCAATATATCTACAGTATAAGGCATGAAAGGTACCTGTATAGCTCCAAAATATGCAATCTTCAATATAATCAACAAAGAGGATAATGTAGGACAGAACCATTTTGGTACCTATGGCTACATCCTTCAGTTGTTTATAGAATTTGGTGTAAAAAAAAAAGGCATTCAACGATAAAATTAGTTCAGATAGTCTAATCAGGGTTTCAGTAGGTGGGTCTAATGTATCCCTTCTGTCCAGGTAGTGTTTTAGGGCCCTGAGTCCATCTTCATGTGGAATGGAGGTATACAACGACGTTATGTCAAGTGTGAATAAAATAGTAGAATCTGATTTTGACTTAAAATTCACAATTTTTTGTAAGGCATCATTGATGTCTTGAATGTAAGTTGGGAGATGATGAACTAAGGGGGGGTTAGGATGGAATCAAGGTAACTAGAGATAAGTTCAGTAGGACAACTGCATGTTGAAACTATGCATTTGTCAGGACAGTCTGGCTTATTATCTTAGGTACAAGATAAAACACGGAAAGCTTGGGATATTCAACAATTACATTATTAGCTTCTAATGGAAGTTCATTATTGCTTATCATTAGTTTTATAGTGGAATAGATAGTCTGTTGATATTAATCAAGAGAGCCATTATCACAGATAGCATAGGATGATTGATCTGATAGTTGTCAATGAGCTTCCTGAAGATAAAGTTCTTTCTTCCAAACAACCACTGCTCCTCCTTTGTCAGCTTGTTTAATTACAATGTCGTCGAGGGAACAAAGATTATGTAAAGCTATTTCTTCATTATCAGTGAGGTTTCTAACAGATATCGCAGTTGTGAAATCCAAGTTGTAAATTTCTTTTTGACATTTCTCTACTTAGTAATCGAGAGTAAGAAATGACTTACTGTTGTTGGTAAGTGGCGTAGGTGTTTCCTGTCTTCAAGACGTACACACACACACAAAATTCAACTTGGTGTTTTGTATTAAATCCATTTATGTTTCTTAATGGGGACCAAACTTTGGCCTTTCTTTAGAATAGTGATCTCACTTTCCATTAGGTGTAGGTCCTGAGGTATTTTGACATTAGAAGTAGGTGGTGTGTTCACTGTTAGATTGTCGTGGCAAATGTATGTCAATTTTCTTACATTTTGAGGAAGATAAAAATCTCTCATCCTATACACAGAGTTAAGATTTGCGAGTTTTAAATTCCTCATTGAGTTGTAATATGGAGAATTCATTTCATGAACTTTATTATGAATGTTAAATGCAATAGCTTAATCAGTAGATTTGTACAATCGAAGACACTGATAGCACAGTTCAAATGAAAAAGTTTCTCTTTCGGAACAAAATGTCCTTAATGTATCATGCAGCAAACCAATAGAACATTACGCCAATCTACTCTCTATCATAGCTTTATCATGTGGAGAGAGGTAATTGGATTTAAGTTTTAAACCTTGATTTAAGTTTAAACCTTTAAACCTTTTAAAAGAAGAACAAATATGGAGAAAAGATATGTGGCTGCAGTACCTGGTTTTTGATAACATAGCCTTGAAGAGAAGGAGAACAGATTGAAACAGCTGAGTCGAGTAGTGAAGAAGATAGTTTATCCTTCCATTAAGAAGGCTCTTATACGTCCTCTTAGAAAGAGACGTGATGTTTGAATGATTGCATGAGAATTCACGAAATGAATAAGTAGAAAAATGCAAAAGTGATAAAATAAAGAATTCTGACTTGTAGAGAAAAATAACCTTTAAAACCCATGGTAAGAATATATTTACTTGGGAATGTTTCGAGCAAATCCTGATGATGACAAAACCTTGTCGAAACGTTGTACATTTGCTGTTATGTTAAACTTATATTAAAGTTTTTCTTCATTACCCATTCAAGCCATCTCCAAGCATTATTTTATCTGTTATTTTCTCTACCCTAACTCTATACGGGTTTGGCCAATTTGACCGACCTTGTAACCACCAAAAAAAAAAATCTAAATAAATCTGAATTTTCCTTTTTTTTTGTAGAATGACTTCAAATTGTAACATGAAATTAAAATTGTTTATCCTAAGTAGCTTTAATCCTTTCGAGATGGGTCACGGGTGAAAG